CTGCTCCATGATATTCTCTCATCATTGTTGTTTCTATCTCTCTCTCCCTCTCCCTTCCTCTCTGAAATCAATAAAAATATATTTCTAAAACAAGGAAAAAATGCAAAAGACTTCAAAGAGTCAAAGCAATCCTGAGGAAATAAAGAACAAAACGATAGGTATCACACTCTCTAAGTTCAAATTATACTACAAAATGACAATAATCAAAACAGCATGGTATTGGCAGAAAAACAAACACACAGATCAATGGAATAAAATTGAGAGCCCCAAAATAAACCCATATTTATATGGGCAAATACTTTTTGAAAAGGGAGTCAAAATGTACAATAAAGAAAAGAAAAAAAGGCCTCTTCAATAAATGGTGCTGGGAAAATTGGAAAGCCACATGCAAAAAATGAAACTAGATTACTTTTAGTTCTCAGATATACAAAAATAAACTCAAAATAGATTTTTAAAAATTCAAAGACTTAAATATAAGACCAGAAACAATAAATTATATAGAAAAAAACATAGGTACTACACGTAGAGTGGGTTTTATACCATTTGACTCCAAAGGTAAGGGAAGTAAAGGCAAAAATATATAAATGGGACTACATCAAACTAAAAAGCTTCTGTACAATGAAAGAAACTGGCAATAAAACAAAAAGAAAACCAACCGAATGGGAAAAGATATTTGCAAACAACTCCAACAAGGAGTCAAAACCCAAAATATATAAAGAACACCTTTGAAAGCAACAAATAAACAAACAAGAAAAACAAGCAAAGAAAAACTCATAAACACAGACAATAGTATGTTGGTCACCAGAGGGAAATGGGGTGAGGATAGTAAAGGGTAAAGGGATTGAAATATCTGGTGATAGAAGATTTGATTTTGAGTGGTGAACACACCAAGCAATATATAGATAATGCATTATAGAATTGAACACTTGAAACCTATATAATTTTATTAACCGATGTAAACGAAAACAAATTTAATTTAAATAAATAACAACTGGCGATAATAATAGCATCACAGAAGAAACTATCAAAGTCGAGAGTTAATTATTGAAAATTGTATAAAATTATAAAATGCCACCCTGGCCAGTGTAGCTCAATTGATTGGAGAATGATCCTGTGCACCAAAGGGTCATGGGTTCGATTCCCAGTCAGGGCACATATCCGGGTTGCAGGTTCAGTCCCCATTTAGGGCACATACAGGAGGCAACCAATCAATGTTTCTGTCTCACATGGATGTTTCTCTCTCTCTCTCTCTCTATCTCTCTCTCTCTCTCTCTCTCTCTCTCACCCCCTCTCTCTCTCTCTCTCAGATGTTTCTCTCTCTCTCTCTCTCTCTCTCTCTCTCTCTCTCTCTCTCTCTCCCCCCTTCTCCCTTCCTCTGTCTCTCTCTCTAACTAATAAAAATTCTTTAAAAAATATTAAGTGCCTGTCAAAAATTAGAAGAGAAAGAACAAAAGAGAGAGAGAGAACAAATTTCCAAGATCTTATAAAAGGGACATAACTATGAACCCTACAGACATTAGCATGATAATAAGAAAATATGCACAGAGCTGACAAAAGTGGACATTGGAAAAACTTGGACAAATTCTTGAAAAAACAACACCACTTACCATAGATGACACAATAGGAACTACATAATTTGAATAAATGTATATTTATTAATTTGTTAATTAGCTGTGAAATTTACCCCATCTCAGAAAGAATTGCCAACACATAACTGAATTTTTCATAGTTAGACATGACATGAAAGTATATATAGAAAATCCAAGAAGATCTACAGATAAAATATTAACCTTACAAAATTAATTTAACATGGATACTGGGAACAACGTCTAAATATTTTAGATATTAGCAAAAAAATTACAGGAACACATACACATGCATACACACTCTCATACACACACATAAAGAAGTTGAAAAGCCCTTGTATTTTTAGATTGAAACTCTATTTCTAAAAGTCATTCATCCAGAGGTCATAGCTAAAATCATGGGTAAATTAAGGTTCTCCAAGGTGAGGACATATAAAGGAAAATCATAAGTTCAAGAAACCACCTTTGAGAGAGAATGATTTGGGGGAGTTAGGGAAAATAATAAAAGCAAAGAAAACAGAGAAAAATATGAAGACTATTGCAAGATGAAGACATCAGATGGCAAAGAAATACCAGTATTGTCAACTAAAGTTTCAACTCAATTGGTTTAAAAGGAAAAATGCAACTTAGGTTTACATAACTAAAATATCCAGAGGTAGGTCAGTCTCCAGGTATAGTTTGACTTGATTTTTGACTTTGTCAATTCATTATGCTGTTTTATTTGTGAACTTTACTTCTGAGTTAGCTTTTTCTATGGAACAAAATTCTGTTGCAATTCCGACCTTTGATGGTGGCATATCATCCAGACAAAGGAAGAACCCTTCCTTTCTCAACCACCGAATATAATCTGTACGCTTCAGTTGGATTGGACCAAATTAGGTCACATACACACTATACACCAACTATTTCAACTAAACCTGCTCTCATCTGGGGTCAAACTTTCCCCACTAGGGGACATTTGGCAGTATCTGAATATATATTTGGTTGTAAAAACTGGGAAAGTGCTGCTGGCATCTAGACAGTAGAAATATTGCTAAGAATCCTGGTCTGTGTAGGACAACCCTCCATAACGAAGAATTATCTGGCCCAAAGTGTCAATAGTACAAAAGTTGAGAAATCTTTAGACCAGGGTTTTCTCAAACTTAAATGTATATCAGAATAATCAGAAAGCTTGTTAAAACACAGATTTCCAGTTTCTATTTTTGCATTTTTTTAATTTAATAGGCCTAGAAAGAGGCCTGAAAATTTCATTTTCTAACAAACTCATAGGCACTACTGCAGGTGGTAACTCACAGCCTATACTCCAAGAAACACATCAATTCCTAGATTGTAGCTGAGGGCACAGTCAAGTCTACAACAGCATGCCTGCTCTAGCAGATGGGGTGGAGTTTAATGCATTCTGGAGAAGTAACTGCTATTCTAATTGAGAGAGGAGGAAACTGTATTTTCATCCATTTTTTACCCTTTGCAAATCCTGAAGTCAATATTGCCCTAAAGTTTCCATGTGGGGGACCTGCATCCAGTACCCCTAACTACTACTCAAGTTCTGCTTGCTCTGACTTCCCTCTTTAAGCTCTATAAAAAAGATACTCAAGTTCTCTCCCCTTCCCTC